CAAAATAAAAGCGTGGGGCGTTAAATTTAAACTAGCTCTAGATTTTCCAAAATTTATTTTAATTCAGTTTAATTATCCATTTCTTAATTCAACTTTTGTATTAAATCGAAAGACCTCTTAACGTTTTGAATTATCTCAAATTATTTTTTGACACAAAGGAACTAGAAAGATTTAGCAGGAGAGTAAGACTTGATTTCTAGTGCCACACAGAAAACTCTACATTAATCTCATAAAGATCAAGTCTACCGTCTTTGATTTTCCATAATTTGTAAGGGCTCATCATTCTCCTTAGACAAAACTATAAACATTGAAGACCTAACGCTTATGTAAACATACAAATTCAAGATTTAGTGATATTTATAAGAACGCCCCACGCTTTTATTTTGAGTCATAAAATTTTGTATCAAATTTGAGAGCTTAGCAAAAAAAATTATTTTCTCCTTTTTAGTGCTCTGTAATCGGAAATAAAAGCGTGCTTTTTTTAAAAAAAAGTTTTTTTTTAAAGTATTTTATTTTCTACTTTTTAGTCTTATGAAATCTCCAAATCGATTCAACTTCCAAAATTCTAAACTTCACTTCGTTTCACTCCGTTTCGTTCAACTATTCATTGATTACCAGTTTTTAATGGGTAATTAGTAAAGACTATCAAAATTTTTCATTCGTTTTATATAATTTAATTCATACTTGAAAACACATTAAACTCTTAAAAGTGTCCTGAACATCAATTAGTCAAGTACATTTTAAATCAATCTTAAAGATTTTGTGTTTATTCGTATCATTCCTACTACATAACATGTAGATTCTTAACATAAAGATGCAATTCACATCTTTATGTAACGTATTTATAACGGATTTTTCAAATTTCAATGAATGTCATTTATATGTTATGCAAAAATACGTCAAGCTTGCGTCAAGCCGTTAATAAAAAGAAAGTGAATTTAATTAAATGTTGGTGAATTGTTAAAAATCAATCTAATACATTAAAAGCATATATATATATATATATATATATTATGCTCAAACGATGTGTGCTAAATGTATATTTGCATATCAATAGTTATTTTGTATTAAAACGTAACTGACTTGCGCTTAACGGTTTTTTTTGAAATTCAAATTTTCACTTACGAATATTCATGAAAAAATTACTTGTCAATTTTTTTGTCCTACCAGAATATCTTTAGCTGTTCAAATTTATAGTATAATTAATAATTAATAATATTAATTAAAATATAATAAATCATGTAAATGACTAAATTAGCATTCTTTATCATTTATAAGATATAGTGCTTGCTCTTATATAATTTTGATTTTAAAACAATAATAGACTGTATTTGTGTTTAGATTATATCGAGAATTACGTGTAAAGTAGCATAAAGTGCCCTGTATTAAATTCAATTTAATTGAACATCAATTAGAGTGAAAAATCAACATTTAATAAAAAAATTTAAAAAAATTGACTCAAAATCAATAAATTCTCTGCATTGCTAAGTTAAATTAATTTTAGTTGAAGTTACGAGGGTTTATATGCGGCTGGACAAAATTAAGCTTATTCATTGAATAAATGCGATTATGTCAACAGGCAAATAATTACTCTAAACTACACTAATTAATTTATTAACCATAGAATTTAATTCTCAACGTGATAAGATCCAGTCAAAACATCGACAAATTCAAATATAACGGATTTATGAACGCACGTGACTGATCAAAAATTCGTTAAGAATACGCTAAATTTGAAAATATCCGTGAAATCCCTGAAATAAGCGTGGCATAATTTGAATTTTTGAACTGCCGTTGGAACTAAATTGAATAATAAAATGCATTCTGGACGTCCAGGAACCACAGCTAAGAACCAGAAATCGGTACAAAAGCAAAAAGATGTCAAAAATCCAAATGTTGAGCATAATAGTCCAGGATCTAGCATTCTGAATTTCTTCAGGAGTCAGCAATCATCACAGAAGCAACTCAATGAAAGCTTCTCATCAATATCATCTGTTGAAACTTCTCTGAATGGCACGATCGTTGATCCAATGACTGAATTGCCTCAAATGGTCAGTATCTTAGAAGCTAGAAGAAAATCATTGGAAGAAAGAAAAATTGAAATTTCACTGATTAGAGATGAGCAAATCAAAAAAGTCTTACTTGATATGATTGATGACATGAAGAATGTTGTAGAAGATAGTGACAAGATATTGCAGTGCCATAATGATATGGTAAACAGGCAAAATGAAGACTCAGAGGAAATTCAGTCAAATAGGGCATCTATAAATAACTTGACTAAAGGAGTCGGTAATCTGACAGATGGAATTAGTGAAGTAAAGAACCGTGTCCAATCACTAGAAGTTTTAAAAAATTGTAATTTCGATAGTCACTTCATTAATATTGTCTTCGTGAATGGAAGGGATGCTGATTGTGTCGAAAAGGGAACTATTGGACCGAAACAAAAGTTTGGTGAAATTTTGAGTGAAATGAAAATTGTCTCACCTAAGGATATTATCGATGCTCACTTGATGACTGCCAGCAGATTCGTGAATAGGAAGCGAAAGCAGATAAAATTGTTGAGAGCTCGGTTCAATGATTCATTAACTGCTGGTCGCATTTTTGCACAAATAATCAATCACAACAAAAATCTCACAGATGAAGGAAAGCAGGATGCACTTAAATATTATGCTGAAATGCCTGCAAGTAAGAATGTGTGGAATTTAAAAAGAGTCTGTTATGAATTGAAAAATGAGGGGACCTTAGTCAATGTTCGTGGATCCGACCGTGGTATCTTGGTGAGTTATAAAGTGAAGAATCGAGATGATGATAAGGAGAGCATCAGAAACTGCACTGTGACATCGGAGAGGGAGATTGATGACTTGAGAAAATTGTTAAATGTTGAGGATGCTTATATATCAGTCACTACAAAGTATAATGATGACTTCTGGAACAAAAAGAAGAAAAAACCTGTAATGGAAAAGAAAAGAGGAAGAGATGATGATGAAAATGATATTATTATTGATTCTAAACGACTAAATTCGGGATCAAATACACAATGAAGTAACGCCTCACCAGCTCAGTTTCCATGCAGAGAATCCAAACAAATTATTAATTTTAACAACTGCGACGTTAATCAAATAAAAAACGAAATCTTGAAAAAGGATAATAACCCGCATTTCTCATTACTTTTTTGGAATATACGGTCCATAAAGTCGCTTGATAAATTTACAAAATTTAAAATGCAAATGACTGAACTGGTGAGTGATAAAAATAAGATTTTAGACTGTCTTATTTTAGCTGAAACGTGGATTAACCCACTGGATAAATTTAAACTATACGAATTAAAAAATTATAACAGCTTGTCGATTTCACGTAATCTGTCTCAAGGAGGGGGAATAATCATCTACGTAAGAAAATTTTTTACCACTAATGTCCTAACTAGAATTTGTAATCAGAATGTGGAAGCAATTCTTGTCGAAATACTATCAGAAAATCTGAGACAAAAGGTTTTAGCTGTTTATAGACCACCATCAGGAAATTTAAATTCCTTTTATGAATTTGTGGATGATATGCTTAGTGAGCATGGCGATATGTTGATAGCAGGAGACATGAACATTAATTTATTAAATGATAATGTATGTAAGGAATATAGAGATTTATTGTTGATGAATGGGTATATTGTTGCAAACAACTCAGTGACACGACCTGCCTCTAGCTCATTACTGGATCATGCCATATTTAAAAATAATACAAGTGCTCTTATTTATACATCCAAAAACTACAGGCTCTCCGATCACAATTTTATAGTACTTATTAAGAGCATTACTCACCAATCAAATTGGATCCAAACAAAGGTGTCAAAATTAGATCATGAGATAATCTCTCAAGAACTTGCTTCCATAGATTTCACGAATATCATCAGCCAATGCTCAAACGTTGATTCTGCATTCTCGAAATTGATAGAATTGGTTAAGATGTCGACAGATAATGCACGCAGGACCTACAAAATTAAACACAGATATGAGAATGAAGTTCCACCATATGTCGATAGGAAATACGTAAGAATATCAAACAGCATTAACAACTTGCATGACAAAATTCGTAAGAGGAATAATAAAAATTTAGCAGTGAGCTTTTTGGAATCGCAAATATCAAATCTTGAAGATTTGTTAAGACAGCATGCTAATATGAAGGCAAATTTGTATTACTCAAATGTAATCCAGAATAATAGATCGTTCTCATGGAACATAATTAATGAAATCACCGGCCGCTCAAAAAAGGATGATGATTTAGTGATACAACAAGATAATATGGTGATTTATGATCATAAAGAAATCGCAAATGCTTTCCAACAAAGGTTTACCGAATTTGGGTCTATTTCACCACATCAACTGTCTATGACTTATTTAGGAGAACCACTTTTAAACAGCATTATAATAAATCCAGTGACTGATAATGAAATAGCCATTTTGATGAATAATTTATCATTAAAGAAAGCAATTGGAAGTGACGGAATTCCTATTAAAGTATGGAAAGATAACATTGACACTTTAGCTCCAACTCTGACTGTATTAGTAAACGAAATGATTTATAGTGGAATTTATCCAGATGTGCTAAAAATCGCGGCCATTAAGCCAATTCATAAGAAAGGAAGTGTAATGGAAATTGAGAATTATAGAGGGATTTCTCTTCTTCCGGCAATCAATAAGGTTGTTGAACGAGTAATTTATGATCAAATTGAGAATTTCATCATCAAATATAAGCAATTTGACGAGCTACAATTTGGATATCGGAGGCACTTTGGTACACAGGATGCACTCTGTAAGCTATACAGTACAATCTCCAAAGCATTGGACAAAAACAAATATGTTGTCGCTGTATTTTTTGATATATCTAAAGCGTTTGACAGCATCAATCATGAGCTACTGTTGTATAAGCTTGAGAAAATGGGTATTCGAGGAATAGCACTTAGTTTAATAAAAAGTTATCTTACCAACAGGCAGCAATATGTAAAGATCATGGATAAATTGAGCGAAATCATGGAAATTCTTTTTGGGATTCCTCAAGGTAGCTGTCTAGGTCCATTGTTATTTGTACTGATGCTCTACGACCTGAAATTTGTTGATACTGACTCTTTGATACTAAAATTCGCAGATGATATCGTGATGGTGCTTACTTGTGATAATTTAGAAGACATTCCAGGTGCTATAAATAAAGATATGGATAAAGTTAAGAAATATTATGAAAGCAACGGACTCAAATTAAATGGTAATAAGTCAAAGTATATGAAATTTGGATTCACAGACTATAAAGACTTAGACGATTTAATGCGAATCAATGGAATTGAAAAAGTTGAGTCAATTAAGTACTTGGGAGCAATTGTGGATAGTAAATTAAGAATGACTGAGCATGTAAATCACCTAGTCAAAGCAATCTCTCAGTCTTTGAACGCAATGAATGTCATCAAGAAACACTTACCATCTTATTCACTTATGCAATTCTACAATGCCTTCATAGGCTCTCATATGTTTTGTAACGGTTTCTTAGTATGTCGAATGAGTGCTGGAGATATCAACAGACTGCAGACTATCCAAAATAAAGCGTTAAAAACAGCATATGGACTTGAGCGAAGATTTTCAACTGAAAAGTTATTTAGTGAAGTGGCTATTAATGTCTTGCCGGTTAAAGGAATAGCATTTTTTAACTTACTGCTGTTGACTAAAAAGTACATCCTAACGAATAATGACGAATTTGAAGTGATTTTGGATGGCCGTCGAAAAGGACAGTTGAAATTTCCAAGATTCCGAAAAGTACTTGCCAATGATCTCATCTGTGTTGGTCCAAAAGTTTTCAATCAGCTGCCTCTAGAAATAAGACAAATCAGAGGATATAATCTTTTTAAAAAGAAATTAAAAACTTTTTTACTGGAGAATAAATTAATTTTCCTGAGGGGTAATCAACTAGACGTAAACAACATGTTTAATCAGCGTAATCCTTGAGATGTTAAAATGAGATACGAAATTTCAAATTTTAATGAGCTGTTTGAAGTTCTTTTGAAATGTTTTTTTTTTTTTTTCACAATTTAATTATATAGAAATTGAAACTTGATACTTACCAATTGTACGCGTGCGTACACTATTTAACTTAACATCACAAACACTTAAAAGTGTAAAACTTAATTATCATTGTTACTTAAACTATTACTTGTATCCTAAAGTTTCCTAATTATCATAATATTTTTATATTTTTATATCACTAGCTTTTAAGCTTTTCTGCCCGAATGGGCCAATAAAAGTCAATCAATCAATCAATCAAGCATTTCAAGTATAATATTTTAAACAAATCAAAATTATATGTCATTGACATTGGATTTTTTCCCATATAAAAAGGTTTTACATAAATTGTACTATAATTAAACATTTTTGTGGTTTCAAAGTGTTAAAATATTGTATTGTCACCGAGAATAAGTGTGCATAAAAAATTTGAGCTCGATTGGAGCAGCAGAAGTGATCGAAATAACGATTACAAAATTTGACGCATGAAACATACAAACAGTGTGAGTTAAATAAAAGCGTGTAAAAATCAATTCAATGACACTTTAAATTCAGGTTATTGGAGGAGTTTAACATACAAAGCACATCCATACTCACATATTCAATAGAAACGCACAACCAATTTTAATGTTTTTCAATCCAACTGGGCTTTCATGTTCATTTTTATTTGTTTTATTTTATAACTTGAAGCACTTACAAAATTGATGAATTTTCAAATATTCTTAAACTTTTTATATGCTTTCTGCTTCCATTAGAAGTTAAACTTATGATTTTTGTACAGTTTTGAAATTACTTTAAGTAGCTACATTTTGGATTTATTGGACTAGAATAATAGCTGAAAGTATTTTGTGCCACAATATCTATTCAGTTCAACCATAAAACTGCAAGAAGCACAGATAATCTCTTTATTCTAGTGCATGTAAAGGATCTAGAGATACAAGCCAATGGTATTTTGTTTGGTAAAAAATCTTTAAAGACACTCTATGCTCAAAAAGGTACACTATCCATTCAAATGTACTTGACTTCATCCAACACTCTGATATATAGTTCATGTCAGTCAACATCACAGCCCTTCTCAAAGTACAATGTAAATGGAACTCTGCAACATGTCATAATTACTCGTCTAGTGCCACTCTTATCAATCACGTTTCATCAAAATGCGCTATCATGTTAAATCATACACATTGCCTTCACACTTGCTTATTTCTCCTATCATTCAGCCTTTTCTGACATTCATTCAAGTCGGCTCCTCTTCATCTTGTTTTCATTTAGACGAGAATAAATGAAGAATAAGAATGAGAAGAAAAAAAAGTGTGAGAACGAACGATAAAATGCCTTTATCCCTTTTCATACTAACAAGAACATTGCCTTCGATAGAGGTTTTACTCGAATCAACAACAAAGCAGTGAGTGTTTAGGTAGTATTAAAGGAAAAGCGAGAGAGATGAGTAATTCTTGTTTAGGAATAAAATATGATACAAGTTTTATCCTAATTTTCGATAACAAATAGGCTAGAAAGGTTTTTCTCATGCACGATCGAAGGAATTTTCTGCTGTATTTAGCAATAAAAAAACTTTATTTTGTGTTATTTGTTTCTACTTCTTATGTGCTTCCCACACTTTAATAACACCGAAAAATTCCAAATATATATTCACAACCAATAAGAAGGATTAAAGTAAAATTGGAAAAATAGGAGGAAGAGGGATGAGAAGCAGCCACATGTAGAATGAGTTGAGGTATGGAATTTCGGTATTGAGGCAGGAGAAATTTCTTCGCAAGTGTAAACAATATGTGTCTATGAAAATAGTTTGAATAACAATGAAGCATACCTATGAAGTGAACATCCTTTCCTTAAACATTCACTAATGCTTTCCTTTTGCTTGTATTTCGGTGGTAAGGGAAATAGGATGTTTGCCCTCTGGTGGCACCTTTGTCGTAGAGTTTCAATTCCAACATTATGTTTACTGCTCATTGCCTACAAACATGTTCTATATGCTAAAACAAGGAATTGAAGAGGAAAAAGACCTTTCTGTGCTCATCAAGATTTATTTTCACCTTCTCTACAACTTTTTATATTAGCAGGAAAATCGATATCGATATTCCACATATGTATATCCCCTCACTTTAACAATCTGGCCAAATAGAAAATATATTGAGCTTGTTTTGGATCTATGTATATGTGTTAAGGACAAACATATGTCCAAGTGTATGCCGAGGATGGAGGAAAAATTATTTTTTACCCTTAAACCATATCAATTGTTTGTATCATACAACATGAAGCAACAACGAGAATCGATTTCCTGATGACACAAAACATAGTGCAAAGCAGGAATAGTAATGCTGATATGTTTAAATATGGCGCATTTGAAGTCCTTAATGAAACTTATATGGCAACCTTTCAGACCTGGATGGAACCTCATACTATTCATCGCGACAACTTACAAGCATTAGATTTAAACTTTAATGCCATTAAATGAAGGTTAAAAATCTTAATAACATATTGGTTGATAGAAAATTTTTGAGAAAAAGACAGACAAGCACGAGACTTATATGATTTTAATTTCTATGAGAACATGCTAAAGGGTTTCTATAGTTTCTCGGGAATAAAGCGAGAAAAGACAATGAAGGTATATCTTCTAATATTTCATGTATCTTCTTCACATAATGAATCATTGAGAATCATAAAACATATTTAAAAGATGCTCGTTTTTGAAAGCTTTTATAGGGGAACAAAAAGGGTTAAACGAGAAAAAAGCAGGAAGGATAAAAAGGCAATGCTTTAAAATAAATTATTTTCAATATTTCAACATCCATAAAAATATAATCTCGTTCTATTTATTATGTGATATGTATAGTAGAAATTGAACATGCTTAAGATGTGTAGCTCATCGTAAGAAATTAACTCGTATGATGTAAAATGTGTGTGTTTTTTCTCAATTAAAACTTTTTCATCATGTTATTGCTGTATGTAGGAAAAGTTTTCTTTCCTTTTAAAAATAAAATATGAGCATTGAAAGATCTTAATTCTTCCTTTTTTTCCATCTTAAAATAAGAAGCACAAAAAGAACAACAGTTAAACTTTTGTTTGTAGAATCTCAATCTCTGCTATATTGCAAAATTAAAAAATAAATAAGAGAAAAATGAAGTTGTGTTTAATGGACTGAAAAAGGGAAAAAAAGTCAATTTTCTTAGTTTCTTTTTCAGTTTAGTAAGAAAACCTTTTTCATCTGCCTTAAATTGAGGTAGTAATCTATAGATTGGAATTACTAACGCACGAAAAAAATATGCTGGAGAATGCGAAAAGAATTCCGATTGTATAGTTCCTTTCGGACAGAAAATGTCCATTGATTTCTTCTAACAATAGATATTTTGTTATTTTTAAGCTGTTACTAGGGCAAATTCACTAATGATGTCAAGCAAAAATCGAGAGTTTTGCACCTAAAGTGGACGCTGTGTCTTAATTATTAAGATCTTAGGGAGGTACGCTCTGGTTAAAAAAATAGCTCTAATTAAATTACGTAATTTATGAACGACCCCATTGATGAAATCGTTTAAATTTAGTAAATCATTAACAAGATTTATATTTCGTCCATGACTAGATTTGTGGTTTTAATCGAAATAAAAGAAGCTCCACATTAAACCAAAATATCAACTTATCTAAATCTACCTTTCAATCTATTTTGCTTCCGTAACCATAAAATTTCTATTTATATCTCTGCCATTTCCCCAGACAATAAGACATCAACTTTAAATCACGACAGAAAGATTGAATAATCGATCAACTAACTTTTTAACCTAATGTTTATTTCCAAAGTTTTTTCTATCTCCTTCTTTAAATCTCTAATGGGAATACACAAGTAGCAAAGTATGGATATAGAATAAAGAACAAAAAAAAAGTTTCTTCTTCGTGGAAAACTTTCGATCTAAATGAGGAAGCAATTTTGCACTAGCATGCATACGCTTAATATTAGGTAGAATGTTTGCTCATTAAAAAAAGTTTAATTTTCAACGTATGTGTAGATGAATACATGCAGAAGCATTTCTGACTTCATAATACTAAAATGCAACGGCAAAAAAATATTTTTTTAAACAAATTTTCATTTTCCTCTTCGCATTAGAAAACTATGAAAGGAATTTCTTTCTGAATGACAGAATTTTTTTATCCTCCTTCCTTCCGTCTGCATACGTAAAACTTGGAATGTATGCAGCAGTTTTCTTAAAACTAAATTAAACTTTTTTTTGGGAAACTTCATTTGACTGCTCTTCTTGTGAACGAGTTTCTTACTCTAGATTTTTTATGTTGCAAAAAAAAGTTCTCAGAAATGTCATTCAAGATTACCAGATTTTTACCTTCAGCTTTATTTTTTCTTCATGTGTCACTTGCAGGGGAACAAAAAACTTAAATTTGGCAGCTTTCTATGGATATATCTCAAATTAATACAAAAGTTGGTTGTCCTACCCATGGCAACATGATAAATAATTTACAAAGTTTTTAGAACTTTTCTCAAACAATGACAAATAATGAAGCTAGGTACGGAGACAACAATGTATTTATTTTCTCCAAAAGCATGTCTTTAAATTAATGAACCCAAATTTACAAATTTTAATCTCAATCAATCACTTTCCATTAAACAGACACCATTAACCTGCGTGTTATTGAGATATCTAGCAAAATTGTTGAGAAACCTTACATCCAATGTTCAATATCTAAATTTAAATAAAATGATTTACCTTGTTCAGCTGTTAGTGACATTATCTCGTACCTCTTGCCACTCTCTTTAAATATCGATTAATCTTTCGATGAACTTTTCATATGATATTTTTCTTTGCATATAAAGTTAGAGCATCTATTCTTCATCCTTATTTGAATTTTCAAAGAGCAATCAAGGAATTCTTTTTAAAATTAAATAAATTGATTAAAAATCAACATTCTGAACTGAGTTGAAGTTTTAAATTAATCTGCTGTCTATTCTCCTTATCCTTTATTTTTATAAGCTTTTATTTCATGAACTTGAGTAATTTTGAGTTAATTGTGTCTCAATGTAGATGAAGAGAACTCTTTTAAAACTTTGCAATTTTAATATCTTAATTGCTTTCCTTTACAAATTAGACATCATTTTTGAACAATTTTAAATTTTGTAGATTTTCTGATGAAAAATGTTCAATTCATTTTCTTAATGCACTATGGGCCAGAAATCGAAAACTTTTCCGAAAATTATTTTTTTGGTCTAAATGATAGCTCTTTTATTCCCATTTATAAAAATACTTACAAAAGTGGCCAATTCAACCAAAGTTCCGAGATATGGCTTTTCAAAGTTTCGATTAAGAGCATTTTCTCGCCCCACAAAAACTGTCACTTCTTTTCACTGGATTGATGAAACTCTTTCAAATTTTTTTTATTTGGTAGTTTTAAATAAGAGCTTTATTTTAGGATGGTAAACATTTAAGTATGCATCTTATAACTTTGTGAATTTTAAGGTTTTTTCCAAAAAGCACGTGTTCAGCATGATTACGTTCGTTTAGGACTTCACTCTTAAAATAAATGATGCTGAATCTTTTTTTATGTTGTAGATATGATCAAGATCTACAACTTTTATGAAGATACTATAAAGTTTTAGTAAAGTTTTAGTGATGAAATAAAATATTTTCTTCAAAAAAAGTGCAATTTTTAGACATAAATTGCTATAACTTTTCAGGAAAGCCCATAGGAGTGGAATTTTTTTACATGCATTGAAAGCTCTTTGAATATACTATCAGAATATACAATCAGCTTGAGTTCGGTTACTGAGACAATCTCGAGCAATTTGACTTTGAAGTGTGACCAGAAATACATTTCAAAACAAAAAAATTGAAAATAAATTTTGTAAGTTTTTCAAAATTTTAGTTTTTAGCTTTAGATCAATAGATCTCATCAAGGCGCACATTTTGAGTATAAATTTGTCATAGTTTGAACAATTTTTTTACTCAAATTTCTTTAATTTTTTAATTTGATATTTTTTGAAATCGCTTTGTTTTTATGTTAAAATATCACTCTTAGAACAACAATTCATTCAACTTTTTTTTACTTTTAGGTAATTTTTTGTAATTTTTTGCAAATTAAATGCATTTTTCTTATCATTTCATATCAAATTCTATTTATTAATAATTCAAAATATTGAAATTTCATTGATTATGCTTTAAAAAAATTCATTTACTCTGTTTCCTCAAAATCAATTTCAAAATAATAATTATCAATTGCTTCTTCAAAGTTTTCACTAAAATATGATAAATCAGCTTCAGCAGGTTCTTCTTCTTCATCCATCGTTATTTCTTTGAAGAAATACGAAACTTCCAGTGGTATTTTGCGATTTCTTCTTCGCAATAGCCTAGTGTTTAAACGTTTTGTTGAAAGAACTGGATCTGAAGCGTCCATTGCTCTGTAAAAAACATCCATCAGATTTTCTTTACGAGAAGTTTTTCTAGCGTTCATCAAACGAGCGAGTTTATAGAAATAATTGTGACTTTCTCCTCCTTCTTCTCCAAAACATCCTGGACTTAAAGGCAGTATCATGATGATGTCAGATGAATGAGCAAGAATTTTGTGAATTGTCGCTGGTAATTTGTACCACGGATATAATGACACTATTAACTTATAAGTATTCTTGCAAAAATCGCCAAATTTCTCATGATCAATATCTTCATGAGAATTTAAAACTTTTAAGATTATACTCAAATTTTTTATCAAATCGACATCCAACTCTAATGCTGCAGCCAGTTTATCTGGATTATTAAATGCTACTCGACATAATTTCCCTGTGGTTGAAGTTCCAGAACCTCCAGATCGTGGTTTATCAAACTTAATACCAAACGATTTTTCTAATTGTTCAAGAATCTTTTTCTTGCGATCATCTACACGTTTCTTTGTCCCTTTATTTGACCTCCATGCCATAATTTCTTTCTTGTATGAAATGTGTAGTAAACCATTAAATGTGTTGATAATAGCATGTAGTGGCTGACAACCAAATATAAGATTCTCTGGATTGGCATAAAAGTCAATATTAAATAAAATGGACACGTTTGAGATCCTGTACCAGTTAAAATATTCAATATTTTTCCATCGATGATAGTTGGATAAAATTTGAAATTAATAAGAACAGGAATTTCTTGTGAATGGAAAACTCCAGATTCCTCTTCCACGATCAAAATTTGTCTTTTTAAATCCGTGAATGTTTTTATTACATGTTCTCTTGTTTCCTTTGCAAACTCTAAACTTATGGGTCTGTTAAATCTGTATGACTGGGGAGTGTCATTTCTCCATATAATCTTTTTGTCTTTTGTTCGGAGAAGAAGAGGTGTAAGGGATGTTGTAAACATTGAGTTATCGTTAATTAATTCCCCATCAGAAGTCAATTGGTGATACATAGAATGACCAGTTGAACCATCCCCACCATAAGCTAAAATAAGTTCAGCTTCCACGACAATCAATTTATCTTCTTCGATAATACTTGACAATATTTCCTCACTTGCTTCCACAATTCTTCTTGCTGTGTGATTGGTTAATGCTCTAACCGTTGTTAATGCTTTTGTGTCAGAAAAAAAAATCGATTCCTTTTCAGGTCTACACACTGCTTTTGCTTCTCTTACTAAGTTGTAGGGAGGAAATATATCTGCGTTTCTTGCTTTTGATTCTAGTCTAAAATCAGTGTATTTCCTCTTTGACAGCGAATTATCTATTAAAAAACCAAGAGCTTCCACTGCGTCCATTTTTACTACTTCAGATTTATTATTCATGTTTTGCACAGAATAATCATCAATATCATTTAAATTATTTCTTATTTTTTTAAGCATTTCTTCTAAATGAATTTTGCTGTTGGCATTTGCAGCTATCTGGCACGCTCTTAACAGAACCCAAATATTATTCTCGGCTCCAGTTGCAATGTTTTTGGCAAAAATGTATAAAGATGTCTTTTCAAGCTCACTGACACTTTTTTTTGGCCTTCCAAGTCCGGAAGATGACGGCTCAGGATTTATAAGCTGATCATTTAAAGCTTCAACCCACTTTTTCTGAATAATTATTAAGGTTACATTCCATGTTCTTCGATTGCACATTTCCAATCTATCAAGTTTGTTGTGACAACTCTTAAAATCATTATTAAAAACTTTTAACCAATGTTCAATTGTTCCTTTTAGTTTATTTTGGCCTAGTTCATTGATTTTTCTTCCAATTTTTCCTTCCATGTAGATAAAAATAGATTTTATTACATTCTGTTTTGGTAAATTTCGATATTCAGCAAACTTTTCAAATATTTCACCCTTTGTGAAATCCATTTGTTAAAACAACCACTGTGAAATTATTTGCATTAATATTTAAATTTCAAATTTAAATTTTTTAACCATAAACTACCAAAAAAAATTCAAAATTTCTAAGAATTTCGTACAAGTAAATTCCAGGGACCATTAGTGACATGGATCAGCAAAAAAAAGGATTAGAGTTTCATATAAAGTTTTTTTCGTTTTAAAGTTTTTTTATAGCGTTTTCCTTTTTAAATTTTTTTTCATTATAGTTCCTTAATTAAAATATGTTATGATGATAGTTTATGCTTTAAAATCGTATGAAAAAAAGTATATATACCGAAAATTCTCAAAAAAGTTGATTAGATGATTAGATGTTCTGAATCGAAAGGAAAATTACCATCAGTTTAAAAGCACACATCAAAGCTTTGCATATTCCAATTTTTTTTATACGTTAACTAGATAAAATATGTGTTTTAGCTATTTAATTTTTATTTATAATAACTATAAGCATAATCAATGAAATTTCAATATTTTGAATTATTAATAAATAGAATTTGATATGAAATGATAAGAAAAATGCATTTAATTTGCAAAAAATTACAAAAAATTACCTAAAAGTAAAAAAAAGTTGAATGAATTGTTGTTCTAAGAGTGATATTTTAACATAAAAACAAAGCGATTTCAAAAAATATCAAATTAAGAAGATTTAAAATAAGTTTTGATCTAAAATAATTGAAAAATAAGTAAAATTTGTTGAAAAAATGTATAAAAATGATTTTGTTGAAATTTGAGTAAAAAAATTGTTCAAACTATGACAAATTTATACTCAAAATGTGCGCCTTGATGAGATCTATTGATCTAAAGCTAAAAACTAAAATTTTGAAAAACTTACAAAATTTATTTTCAATTTTTTTGTTTTGAAATGTATTTCTGGTCACACTTCAAAGTCAAATTGCTCGAGATTGTCTCAGTAACCGAACTCAAGCTGATTGTATATTCTGATAGTATATTCAAAGAGCTTTCAATGCATGTAAAAAAATTCCACTCCTATGGGCTTTCCTGAAAAGTTATAGCAATTTATGTCTAAAAATTGCACTTTTTTTGAAGAAAATATTTTATTTCATCACTAAAACTTTACTAAAACTTTATAGTATCTTCATAAAAGTTGTAGATCTTGATCATATCTACAACATAAAAAAAGATTCAGCATCATTTATTTTAAGAGTGAAGTCCTAAACGAACGTAATCATGCTGAACACGTGCTTTTTGGAAAAAACCTTAAAATTCACAAAGTTATAAGATGCATACTTAAATGTTTACCATCCTAAAATAAAGCTCTTATTTAAAACTACCAAATAAAAAAAATTTGAAAGAGTTTCATCAATCCAGTGAAAAGAAGTGACAGTTTTTGTGGGGCGAGAAAATGCTCTTAATCGAAACTTTGAAAAGCCATATCTCGGAACTTTGGTTGAATTGGCCACTTTTGTAAGTATTTTTATAAATGGGAATAAAAGAGCTATCATTTAGACCAAAAAAATAATTTTCGGAAAAGTTTTCGATTTCTGGCCCATAGTGTAATGGCTGTGCTTTAGATCTTGTAATAGAAAAATACAGAAATAAAACCAAAAAATGAGAATTTTATTTCCTCATCTACGAATGTTAAGGAAATGTCAGCATAAAATATTATGCGCTCTAAAACATTTATATCAAGAGAATAATCTTTTGATTCATCTTGTTCATATTCTCTTCATTTATCTATGAATTTTATTTTCCCTTTCCATTCTTATTTGAATCAATTTACTTAGTGTATGACAATGTTCCTTCATTTGAATCTAAAATGAGGAACAGAGTAGGAAAGTTGAAATGATGACAAAACTTGGGTACGAAAGAATGAGAAAAAAATCGATAAAATAAATGTCGAAAGTTCAAATTGAATTTTCCAACTCGTTATCAGATCATCGAATTTTCTTCTCTTTTTTTTCAAAGTCGTACAAGTTTTTCCCTCCTTTCTGGTTGTTTATTTATCAGATAAAATAATTCTTCCTTAAGCAGTTTTCTCCAAAGACTTGAAAGGTGTAATATGAGAGGTAGAAGTATAGCATGATTAGATAATTAAGGCAGGAATTTGAATGTAGACAGAGTTTCAGAATAATCAGTTTGGGGAAATAAAAATACGAAGAAAATTAAAATACAATTTTTAATATAAGCTTTCTTTTTCATTTCGCATTCCAATTTTAATCGGATTTAATACTTTAAAATAATAATTAAAACAACAATTTCAATTTCTAAAATCAGAATTGCCAACTTGCCACAAAATCCTCTCAGATTAATTTTTAACATAACAAAATAAATTCATTTATTTAATTGCTTCTACTCTGTTTATTTTTCATTAGATTGACTCGTGAACTGATTATTTATAGACACTTTTGTGAAAACTCAAATAAAATTTTTGGATAAATTAAATTTTCATTAACCAGAACTTTTGAAACTTCTTCCAATTCCCCACAAAATCATCAACAAATGTTTATTCAGAATATTTTTTTTTCTAGCAACATAAAATCAAAATCGAACTTGTCTAAGCTATAAAGTTTAATGGCAATTGAAATCGAAGAGAGAATGAGCAAATACAGCAAAGATGAAGCGTAAATGAATTTCAGCTATTGTTGCTTTTAAATTTTTAATCACGTACAATTGTTGTTTATTCATTTTGTGTGTTGGCATTTTCGTAAGGAATAGATTTTTGTTCTCAGAAAATCATAGCAATGGAAGTTTAGAAGCATTAAAATACATCCTAAGAATTCTACTGTAATAAGTTCTTAAATTATAGATTTTTGTCAGATGCAGTTGGAAACATGTCATTGCAATTGATATTTAATTTAATGACATTTTTGAAAATATTAAAAAGAGATAGCAAATTGATCTAAAGCAGTAGCACTAAATCTATGTATTGCTGTTATGAACCATGAATCAAAAAGTTTGAGAACCACTGCTTCAAAAATGATCACTCACAAGCATAAGCAATATTCCCCATTCCATCTTCAAGATTTTTCACGATTCAAGGTCAAATTAATTGAAGGAAGATTGAGTAAAGTTTTATTATTGTAAAAGTAAGCAATTCTGGTACTTAGAGGATATTATAATTTTATAAGGATGGCTCAAAGTTATGGCGAATTTTATATAAAATATATTATCACAATTTGCATAAACAAAAAGGATCCCAAAATCTCTTCATCATTTTCCCTTCAGTTTTTCAAGGAAATAAGGAGCTCATGTTTACTCATTAAACATTAAATCAATGTGATTTTCATGTAAGATTTTATAAGCGAATGAATATTATGGCATAAACGATAAAATTGGTTCATGAAAATAACTATTAATTTCATTAAAGTCGTATAACAGCGCACAATTTAGTCACTGTTCTTGCGATACTTCTCGGTTCTCATATTTTATGGCTAAATTTGATAGTAAAACGACGAACAACCATCGAGCTGTATTATACTCCTTACCCACACTTGATGCGAAGATTATGTGCGTTTTATGCAGAGTGGTTTCATCGCTTCACATTGTCCTGTTTCCAATATATATTTTTTTTGTGCTTGTGCTCTTGCCACTGATGATCCATTTATTTATTTATTTTTTGTAGTGATGCTTTTTCTCCTCTTTATTATTGAATTTTCTTTTTCATCTTGTGCTGCTTTTTGAAGCAAAATAAAAGCAAATTTGATGACCATCATCATTTGCTACAGTCGATATACATCAGCAAATGGAATATGGAATAAGTGGCATTAAATGAGCCTCTCATCGTAATACTCACTCTGATTCACATTTGTCACACATTCGAGTATCACTTTTTACATTATATGCATTCTGATTTTCTAGTAGTTTTCCACATTTATATCTGTTGTGACATTAAGATGCTTTTGTCGCTCATAATTCTATTGATATCATTAGCATAAAATTTATTATTTGATGTTGAGAATAAATTTATGTTTTTCAGCATTAAGTATAATAAAGCATATTCAATATCTCTAAGAAAGGAGGCAAAAAATGCAATCATAATAATAATATTATACAGTGTTGTGTTCTATACAATATTCATCCTGTTTTCCTCTTGGCTTCAAGGGATAATCAACAATGAAAAAAGAAATAATTCCGTGGATGTATTGACATAACTTTCTGGGATGAGCTTTAAGTCTTTTTTTTTCTGTGTTGGCTTTCAGGCATGATAAATATTTTTATGAAAATATCTGTTGAAAAAGCAAAGCTGGAATTTTATGTGAGTTATGATTCATCATAACTTTAGTGATATTCGACAGTCTAATTTGTATTTTTAATTGAGAATACAGTTAAACCTTCTTATTCAATGATAGATTTCTATTATTAAACTAATGGTTAACACTTTCGTCACCAAAATAATTACTACTGTGCCACTAAAATTCAAGAATCTTCTCCATTTTAGACATCATAAGTGAACGAATCTAATCTCAGACATTCTGAAGACAATATTTCTTTAATGAGCCAAGTGATCTTTTGTAAGAATAATCAGCATGTGA